CAGTCCTATTCAGGACTACGTTCACCCGGACGATCAAACTCAACCTCCCTTTGAAATGACTCCTGGGTTCAAACCTTTCACAAAAAAGGTATTATTTGCAAGTGGTGAGTCAGCTAAGGAGAAATGTTTTCAATCTGGATTCAAAAAGAGAGATAATAGCAGCACTTTGTATGAATTGAATTGAAAAATTTTGCACCACGAAATTTTATACCAAAAAGTCTTGTATTTGTTCGTGCAAGAAATAAGTAAAAAGTATTTGAATTTCTGGTATTATAGGAATGAAATTGATTTGTCATCAAAAAAAATTCCTTTGAATACTTTCCAACTTGAAACAAGTACATTTCAGAGAACTTCAGTTTTTGCAAACCTATAAATATAGGATATCAGTGAGCACCAAATGGCTTCTTGGAATAATTCGAATTTTTTTTTTTTTTGAAGTATGACCATACGATTTAAATTTATGGGATAAGTCGATGCCCATACTGAAACACAATATGCAAGATCAGGTACCGGTTACAGCTCTCTGCGTACAATTTAGTAAATTTGCTAAAAATATAAACTTAGATTTTTTCCAAATATTTCTCATTAAAAGGAAGCACTGTTATATTTAAAACCATAAAATAAAAAGTGGGGGCCACCGTGCTCGTTTTGCTGTAGAGCTGTAGAAAGGGCACACTACTTGCATTCTTTCCATTTTTGAGAGAGGACTGAAGCGGGTTTCAAAGCGGCATGTATGTAGAAGGTGGAAGAAGGCATAGCAAAATGTGAGTTTACGGAATTTACATCAAGATATTGCAATTAGGACGCAATGTGACAAAGATGGAGCTTTAAAAATGTCATGTAAAGTGATTCAAACATCCACTATCTCACAATCGGCGAAGGCCTGGGTGAGAAGTCTTATTATATAAAAGCAGAAACTCATAAGGGGCGTTCAATGCTCGTGAATATTTACTTTTACCATATTTGGAAACCCTAGTGACAGATATCCATTTTCAACAAAATGGCTGCCGCGCGATCACCATGCAGGTGTTTTTAAAGGGAACCTCCACTCTTACTACAGAATAAGTTTAAATCGAATAAAATTATGTTGATAAACAAATTTGTTCGAAATTTGTTCTTAAAAAAAGTGTTTATATCAAGAAAAGTGAATTTTAAAATCGCTTATTTTCACTTTCAAATTTCGCGGGCGCCGCCATCTTGAATAATTGTGACGTGTAATGGTTGCTCTATTGTTCTGACACAAAGAGCTTTTGTTTAATAACAATAGGGCAACCGTAACACTTCACAATTATTCGAAATGGCGACGCCCGCAAAATTTGAAAACAAAAATAGGCGAATCTAAAAGTTATTTCTTTCGGATACAAACGCTTTCTTTAAAAATATTTTAGATTGACTTGACTGTAACAGTTATTTCCTGTGATTTAAAGTTATCTTTTGTTGAAGTGGAGGTTCCCTTTAAGACAAGAGTTCTGCATTTCAGGGTTAAAAATACACCGTTAAAAGACAAAAAATGGAAAGAGAAAGTTCAAAAGAATGCTCAGCTTTCTTTTTGTGGAGGAAGAGAAGCTTTTCATCAAGAAATCGTCCTTCGAGGAATTCAACCTTGTTTTCTTCACAACGGAGCACATGGTCTGTTTTGAAATGCAACCAAGGCAGTAAAGTTTTTGCTGAAGTTTCACGTACATTTTGCACTCTATGGCCTAGACAATTACGTTTTTGAAAGGAAATTTATGTATTTTTAAATGTTTCATAGACGTTTTATAAATTTTTCTCTTCGGCGCTAAAGAAAAATTACAAAATGTGCCCCGATTTGAGATGGATTTTGTGTTGAATTTTGCCATGTGCTCAGCCGATTTCACTTGCGTGAACGGATCCACGATCGAGATAGTGTTTTCCGAATTGCTTTAAAAGATTAACTTTTTGGATTTTGAATAAAAATTTTCAAGAAACGGCTTCTCTGTCTATTGTTTTGAGTTTGTTCATTCATAAAATTAGCTCAAAACACGATCGTGACTACAACATCCAAGCTGAATTTAAGCTTAAATGCTTCTCACATTCATTGCACGCATCTCTTTTTGCGAAGATGTCAGGTTCAGGTTTTGGACACTTTCCGATACACAGTTAATGAATTTCATTCGAAAATATTGTTTACTGTTTATTCTAGACTTTTGATATAAGAATTTTAAAAACCTATTTGCAGTATAAGTTTACTGTGCAGAGGGTCAACGAGGCATCGTTTTTTGAAGTGACAACTTCAAGAAGTTGCGAGGACGTCAATGGGTTTCATAATGTTACGTTTGGCCCGTGTGGTTAGGCAATAATATATTTCTGCTCAGCGTTTCGGTAAGATTCCTGAATTCAACCTTTGAACTCTCTCTCGGCTTTTGGGAGTTTTTCTCCGGTTTGTCGGCCACTTTTTTAAGCGAGGCGGGAACCTGAAGTAAAATTACGTCACCTTGTTTACGAAGTTTGATTGGTCAGTTATCTCTTCTTCTCGTTCCAAATATGGTACTTTCGAAAATGAATAATCACGAGCATCGGACAAAGCAAACATATGAGAGTTACATGTTTTTTAACCCCTTATGAGTTTCTGATAAAAGTTACTGTTATACCGAGTGGCAGCAAATCGGTAAATGCGCTATCCCACCAGTGATGATATCATTTCTATCCACACACGTGTGATATCATTTTTGACCAATCAGCTCACAGTATTTTCGCGCCCTGTCAAAGCCGTACTTGTGGTTTTACGTCGTTTGTAAGGTCTTTTTGAAGTTTTTGCGTTGGTCTTTTCGCAAGTCGAAGTTGGAGCCAAGCAGGTTTGATCACAGATGAGGAACTGAATTCGTAGAAGAACAAGAAAATCCGATTACAAAGAGGAAAACTGCGTGTGACTTCGAGCTTGCTTGGTTCAACATCTCTTCTTGAGCTTTCACCACAAGTTCTGAGCAACCATTATTCGAACTAAAATTCATCTTTGGCTTTGGAAAAAAAAAGATGGCTTCGACTATGAACCCACAATTTTGAGAGGATTACTATCAAGCATCCAGAGATATCTGAATAAACAGAACTAAGGCTTCACAATTTTTACTGACGCTACTCTCAAAGCAAAACGGAAGGACTTAAGGCCAAGGGATTGGAAAACAAGCCTAAGACATCGGATAGCCTAACAGGCGAGGAACTGTATGCCCCCAAATGCCTAGGGTGTGAAAGCCGTCAAGCCATTATAAACACTTTGTTGCTAAATTCGACCTTACATTCCAGCCTTCGAGGCGGAAAACTGACAGAGAGAGTTACGCTGGGGAGATATCAAACTCAAGCAAATGCCAAACGGAAGAGAGTATTTGCTGTATTGTGAGGATTTTATGCAACAAAAAGAAAATTACATTGTCGCTTGGAGATAAGAAAATTTCTCTTCTGGTGTTGAAAATTTTTCACGAGCGAGCGCAGCGATTTTTCAACACTCGCGAGGCCATGTAATATACCCTCTATTGAAGCAACACATTCCCAAAACACTGAGACTCATCTTGACCAGAAAAACAGCTATAGAAAATTCCATTTTTGTTTCTTTTCGTTCGACTTCATTTTAATAATGGTTCTGTAGAAGTTCTTTTTCAGGGCGGCCAGCTTGGAATGGCCCGTGAGATATGTGCAGTACAAAACCATCCGCATCACAAAGTGCAATGACAAACAGCAACAATAGCAATATTGAACAGAACAATAACAAGATGAATATAACATTATGATGATCATAAGAAAGTAAATTCTATTCCATGTCCATAACCGGTAGGTCCTCGACAAAGTTCTCGAGGGGGGCTTCCCCCTAAAGTCGAAGAATACTGCCTGCCACTTCCCTTGACATTTTTCAAATCGCGAAAATACGTAGCTTAAACCTCTGAGACTTTTTTCCTTCAGGTAATTTGGTTTATAATTTACCTTTCATACCTCTAACCTTTTTTCATCTTGTGTAATGAGTCAAAACTACTCCAGTTTACCAAGTTGTTTCGGATGAACTTGAACGGCATGAGGTCTTGCTAGAAGACTATTGTTCTTTTTGCACTTTTTGTTCATGATAAACCTTAATATTCAACACATCGCTTGAAAAGGGATCAAAACAATACACAGACGCTAAAATTAGGGACTCATCACATCACGATTAAATTCATGATCACAACTACTGACTTTTTCATTATATTAGATCGTGTCTCAACAAAATCATCAAAAAGGTAATAAATTGATCCCACTGCTTCAAACAGTTTTCTCCTTTTTTCTTGTTCCTCCGTTAGTGCCTGTCAATTGGGGCTAGCCTCCTCTCTGTTCTCTTCAAAATCGTGACATCCCCCCGCCCCCCAATTCCTCAACCAAGGCAAAAATATGATGATGGCAAAATATGGGTGGAGGTGATCTGTGATAGGATCAAACGAACTTCATTGCAATTCCTAGTATTGGCAGCTTTCATCCGCTGTGATCCCCAATATGTAACCTTTGTGCCATGGCAAAGTTACGTAGGTGCGTGCATGATAGATGTAATATATCCCCTGGATTAAGTTACAATAAAGCAAATAATATGTGTGAATTTACTTTAAAAGTTATGGAAAGGGCTAGGCCGGTCACCTGTTATTGATGTATGAGTTTAGAAAGACAGTTTGGTAGTTTATGTACTTAAATTTTTCGGAATTTTTGCAGGTCGGTGTGGTAGTGTAGTGGTAAGGGAGACAGATTAGGATACGAAAGGTTCAGGTTCGAGGTCCTGATTCTACCCTGGGTTGCGATCTTCTTTCCTTTTAATAGCCGGAAACAGTCTCAATGACAGGCCAAACATTTTCTTAATGTCTTAAAAATAATAGCGGTCGTTTACGAAAGGGACAACTGCGTCGTCTTTCTGAGCTGATCTGGCACAAAAATCGCGCCAAAAACAACAAAAGCTTTCAGGTAGATTGTAATCATATCCTTAGGAGTGTGTGCGTTGTGGGAAAGACAGATATTACTCATACAGGAAACTG